TGCAGGGCCTCCCAGGAGTCGGTGGTGTGGTCGTAGCGTTCTGTGCTGTCCGCAGCCACCACGTACAGCAGCCCGTCCAGCACAGAGGAGCTGTGGTACTCCCGGGCCTTCAGCATGGGCGCCACCTCCGTCCACTCATTCACACTTGAGTTGTACCTCCACACACAGTCATAGAGCCGGGAGCCATCAGATCCACCTGCCACGGAGGACAATGGGCAGATAGATGATTAGCCCACACCGATTCAGGGTGAGTCACCCACCTGTGACTCCCTGAACTTCCTAGAGAGTAAGGATGAAACACACATCCTCTCTTACCAAGGCCCCAGCCAGGGGCTCAAGCCAGGTACAGGCTGACCATTGCCCAGGAGGATGGTCCAGCTTCATGCCATAAAAACACCACCGCACCTCTGTGGGCCAACCAGAGGCCACAATTCTGAGTACACAGTAATCTCAGTTTGGACCCCTGCACTCAGAGTCAGACACCTCAACTGGATGGGAACATCAGGTCTTGGAGTCCATTTTCCCAGGAAGCCACAAGTCATGTGGGTGGGAGGGACTTCCCTGGTGGGCCAGTGGCTAAGACTCTGAGCTCACAATGCAGGGGGCACAGGTTCGATCCCTTGTTGGGGAACTAAGATCCTGCAAGCTGTGCTTGGCCAAAAAAAAAAACAAAACTAAAACAGCATATGTGGGTGGGGTGCCTGGGGACTTGTTCATTAAATTCTAGGCATCCCCTAACCAAGGCTGGACCAGGATGAGTTAAGAAGAAACCTAAGTGCTCAGCCAGCAAGAAACCTAACACAGAAGGTGATGCTATGAGTGAACTTCCGGGGTTGTATTTCTTGATTTATGTGCAAGCTACTGACTTGTTTTGTTTGGAAAAAGTCATCAAGCTGTGCAAGTATGATGTCTATTTTTCCATCTATATGTCCAAAAAAAGTGCTAAAAAGCAAACAAACAAAGCTCAGTGGTACTGGCTATTGCCATAAGTTAAACCAGGCTCACCTAGGACATTAGGATTCCCACAGGGTGAAGGGGCCCCAAGAACCCTGGGGGTTGGATTCCCCTCCTCGTCCCAAGCCTGGGGGCAAAGGGCAGAGCAGAGCCGCCATTACATTCTATCCGATTCACAGCCTGCAGCTTTTAGAGGGAGAAGACAGCCTCCTTGTAAAGTCCTCCCGGCCTCCCTTCTTTCTAAAGGAGAACTGTGTCAAAGGCAGCTGAAGCCGCCTCCTCGGCCCTGTGAGATTCCCTAGAGGCAGCTGTAGGGAATGACCCAGCCACCTGTCTAAACCCAAAGGATTAGCTGAGACATTTATGGAAGGGTGTGCAAAGATGGGGCGAGTCTGACCAGTTGTGGGAGTTTACTGACCAGACTTCAGTGGTGGGGGTGGGGTGGGGTTGAAGGGGGTTGGTTCCCCAACAACACATGGCCAACCTCAGACTGGGAACTGGCCCATTCTGGCAGATTCCTGCAGAGGCAGGACCTGGAGTGGCAGCCACACAGCCGAGCCTGTCCTCAGGCTAGGATGAGCCCAACTTCTCAGCTCAGAGCTCCCAGGAGGGAGGGGCAGGTACCTCAGAGTTGGCTTTCTCCCGAACTAACGTGCCAGGCTGGACACAGCGCTGCGCCGGCCCAGCTGAGGCCTCCCTGCCCGATCCAGCCCCCTGCAGGCCCTGAGCGTATGCTTGGCCGGGTTCTTTCCTTATATAGCCCTCGCACAGACCGCCCCTCCTCACCCCACGCATGGAGAGAGCCTCATGTTTGAATTGGATTCATCTTTAATAAAAAATGTGGGAGATGCCCAGGACTGGGGCGGGCTGGGACCCGCCCAGCATGACTCGGCAGTGTTTTGGGGTTTGGGCCAAGTAATTGGAAGAAAACCTCTTAGCATGTGACTCTGTTTACAGTCGCTGGGCCGGGAGCTGCCTAAACACCACGTGATGCACAGCGCAGGGCCTAGGTACAAGCCCCAGGGAATGCTGTCACTGGTGACCAAGTGAGTGAGTCAGGGGACTGTGCTGCTCAGCTGGGAGGGAGAAATCCCCCCTACCGGGGTAGAAAGGATGTACCACAGGGCGTCAGTCCCTGGCCTGTCCCCAGATTCCTTGGGGGAGAAAAAGAAAGCACTCATAGTGCAGGGTTGGAGAAGAAAATGGTAACCCACTCCAGTGTTCTTGCCTGGAGAATCCCAGGGACGGTGGAGCCTGGTGGGCTGCGACTATGGGGTCGCAGAGAGTCAGACATGACTGAAGCGACTTAGCAGCAGCAGCACAGTGCAGGGAGGCTGCCCCAGTGTCTTGCCACCAAATGGGGACACCGCCTGGGCGAGGAGGGGGCTGCCCAGACAGGCCCTGCGAGAGCCACAGGCGGCTACTTGTCCCATTAACACAAAGGGGTTCTTCTAGATCTTAAGTATCAACCCTAGAAACTTCTGTGCCTGCCAGTCGGGGGAAGGGGGAGTGTCCACCTGCACCCAGGTGGCGCCTGTGGTTCCAGGCACTTCGGGTTCTCTTGCAGGTGAAAATGCCTGCTCCCCCGTTGGGGTCTGGGCGGGCCAGGGTGCTCCTGATCAGCCCCCATGCCCACTTACCCGTCACGTAGATGTCGTTGCCCAGCGCCACGATGCTGTAGCCTCCGCCCAGGTGGTCGGGGAACTCGGCCAGGTAGCGCCACTGGCCCGTCTGCGGGTTGTAGCAGTCGACGGTGACCAGTTCGTCACAGTCCTGGTCGCATCCGCCCACGAGCACGAGGATCTCGGCGAGGCCGGTGGAGGGGCGCGGCCGCATCCGAGGGCAGGGCCCGCGGTCGTGGCGGTCGTAGCGTGCCGCCTGGAAATCGCGCGCCTCGCGCAGCAGGCGCAGGCAGGGCGGGCAGCGGGCCACCAGAGGCTCGGCCTCGACGTGCGCCAGCAGGTAGAAGCGGCGCACGAAGGGCAGGCGCACGGCCTCCAGCAGCTGCGGCCAGTGCGCCGCGCGGCGCGGCGGGTCGGCGCGCACCCAGCGCAGTGCCAGCTGGTAGGCGGCCTCCTCCTTGGGCACGCAGAGCCCGTCGTCGCGCAGGTAGCGCAGCAGCCGCGCCAGGGGGAGACGCTCCAGCTGCTCGGCGCCCAGCTCGCCCACGTGGCGCAGGATGAAGCGCTGAGCCGCGCTCGCCAGCCCCGCGCAGCTGAAGGCCTCGGCGAAGTCCTGCATGTCCAGGCAGTTGGTCAGGTCGAGCTGCTGCTGCAGGAAGGCGCCGCACGCCTCCTTCACGGCCGGGAATTGCAGCAGGTCGGCGGCGCGCAGCAGCGGTTCGGCGTTGTCGCCGCTCACCGCCACGCGGCCCGTGTAGCTGAAGTCGAGCAGCAGCTGCAGCATGTCGGGCGGCACGCCGTGCAGGCGCACCCGCTCGGCGCGGCTCTCGCGCAACTGCCCGGCGAACATGGCGCGGAAGTAGGGGCTGGCGGCCGCCAGCACGGCGCGGTGCGCCGGGAAGTCGCGCCCGCCAGCCGCCTCCAGGGTCACGTCCAGGAACTTGCGCTCGGCGCGGAGCTGGCTCAGGCCGCGCAGCAGGCTCAGGGCGTGCGCGGGGTCCGAGAAGGGCAGTACGGCCAGGGGCGCCGGCCGCTCCATGGCGCCTTGGCTGGGGGCGCGGGGCCGCTGTGCGCGGTACTCGGAAAAGCCGCGGCCGGGGCCAGCGGAGAGACAGTATGCGCTGGGAGCCGCCGCAATAAATACGACCGGGCGCGGCGGCCTCCGGGGGGCCGGGCAGGGCGGGGGCGGGGCGTCGCCGACACCGCCTACTTAACTCTTTTGGGTCCGGCGCCGCTGCCAGGCTAAGCGCGCTGACTCGCCTTCTCTCGCGCGCTCCCGCCCCCGCGCTGCAGGCTGAGTCACCGCCGCCTGCGCCCGCTCCCTCTCTCCGCCCTTCCGGGGCTTCCTGCGGCCTCCCGCCGACGCCGGAGCCTGGGACACAGGGTGACAAGTGTCCTTTCGGAGGGGGCGGCCCTGCCGTGCGCTGGAATCCGGGGCCTCCGGAGCCTGCCCATCACCCACTCGGCCCGGCTGCCGAACAAAACCCGGTGGGAGCGAACGAAGCCATCCCTTTCGCGCCAGACTTCCCAAACTGCTCCAGGGCGACTCGATACAACGGCTTTTTTTCCCCCCCCTTTGGAATTCCACTAGTTCCAAGGGTTGCTTGTTAACCCTATCTCGGGACAGATTTCTAACGACGAAACATGTTTTTACAATTCAGGACTAAAGCAAGAACAAGTATAAAGTCTTTAGGTGACGTTTTCTTCTTGGCGCATCCGTGAGGGACACCGGGCCAGATGCCAGGAATCTGCTCCGCTGTGTTCCTGCGGGAGTTTCTAACTTGACTAACTCGGTCAGTAACTTTCGTCAGCACACAAGGCGGTTTTCGTTTCTGAGTCATCTACGGACCCTTTCAGGCTCCGAGCTCCCCTCTGAAGGGGAGGGGCCTGCCCTGGCTGTGTTTGGTCACCCTGGCCTTCTAGCCCCTCCTCTCCTGGTAATGGAAATAGGAAAGGCAGAAATCAGGGTAGGAAAGATCCATGAGAATTCGTTAGAATATACTATTAAACTAAACAAAAAGCTGAAGCACCAGAAAATAATTCCTGGGGAAAATAGCTGTTTTTCCTCTTCCATTTGAGGGGCGCCAGGTACCCTGAGGGAACCGGGCTCAACTCAAGGTCAGACAGGACTGCCTTAAAAACCAGAGATGTGCCTCTTCAACGTCACCATTACATGTGGGGTGACCATGAAGAAAGAAATCTTCCTTATTTTGGTTCCAGTAGATACAATACCAGGACTTTGCTTTCAAAGAAACCAGATGAAAAAATTCCCTCACTTGGAAGCCATTTTTTTCTTCAGTTCAATGGACGATTTGCTCATTTTTAAAAAAGACCCTTATTGGGCTTCTTGTGTTGCAGATGAAACCGGGGTTTCTGTTACTGGGTAGCCCCCATCCCGCCCTGTGAACTTGGCAAACACACCCGATGGAAGCCTCACTCCGCCCACGTGAGTCCTGGGGCAGGCGGGCCACACCAGGAGCTGCTGTCATTTCTTGGTTCCAGCTCATCGACTCAGCCTTTGGAGAAGACATCTTGGTTTTATTCCACCTCGGAGAAGTGAACTGTAGGCCTTCTTTTCTCTTCCTGAATCTCTCACCATCTTGCCGTGAGAAGGTATCTGATATGAATGTCAGCATGGGAAGCACAGCCCTAAGTCAGAAAACATTCAGGTACCCAGGCGGGCTGCCTGTTGCCCATAGATGGACTGTTCACACAGCTATTAACGGCAGCATTCCTGGGCCCAGGAACTGGGCCAATAAGCTTACTTGCTCAGGCTTTGTGACAAGAAAGTCTGAGTAGCCAGGAAGTGGGATGTTTGCAGGGAAAAGTACTACAGTTCCTCTAGGTCAAAACCCATCCACCTGGTATAAATCAAATCTTTACATCAATAATGTTTCTGTAGTTAACAACGGAGTCTACTTTTGTGTATCCCCAACCACAGGGATTAACTGTTTCAGGTTTACTTTGAAAAACAGATGTTGCTACCTATTAAAATGGAAAGATGTTCATGTTATAATGTCAAGCAAACAATCTGATTACCTGTGTGACCCCCATTTGTTATGTGTTTATATGCCTACCAAGAAACTGTGAAGGTAACATTTTTCTCTAGGTGGCTAGGTTTAGGTTTGTTTTGTTGTTTTTTGCTTGCCTGCATTTTCTGTTTTCCTATATTAAACATATATAACCTGGGTATTCAAGGATTGAAAGTTCAAAATAAAAAGATCAGTTCTTGAGGAAAAAAAGTGTATTATTAATATCCTAGACCTAACAGGAGAGCACTTGAAGCCATGTGTATAAATCTAAGGCAATGAAGGAATGTAGTTAGAAAAGAAAGGAACAGATTTAGACTGATCAGCTGTGTTTGGAATTTTGAATAACCTGCTAACCCAAGCATGCTATTTGGTTCACTTTTTTTTGCTTATTAATCTCATGAGTTCAAAATGGGAATGTGAAAAATTCATTCACTGCAGTATGATAGTGTGATGGATACAGTCAGCAAACTGTATTAATATGGGGGTTTAAAATTCTCAAATATCATCCAACACCCTAGTGTGATGCAAACACCACTTTCTGGTGAGGAAGGTGTTAACTGTAACCAACAAGCAATAGTTTGTGGGAAAATGTATTTAAAGACTAAACTTCAGTCATGAATGTTTTAAAAGTGTACCGCTTCTAAAATGATGAAACTGGTCTAAGTAACTTTATGATAATGTAATTCAATGTGATTTAACAAATAATGGTACATAATTCATTAAATACCAAATTAAATAAAAACAAATTTCATTTAAAAAATGAAAACCACTTGATATTTGAATTCTGATTTTAGGCAGACAGGACAACAGCTAACTGAGATAATTTTAAAAGCTGCTGTGACCTCCTTTTTATTTTCTTTGAGAACATACAGGAAGGCTCATAGCCTCATTGAGCTTGCCTGTTTGCCATGACAAGGCTGTGATCCATGAAGGGGACAAGAACACATACTGTAGCATTTACAAAGTCAAAAAGAGATTGTACCTTTTCCCAATTAGACATTCTATTTTTTTCTGATTCTGGGCTGCCTAAGGTGTGGTTTGTAATGTACTTATTACATATAACTTTTTTCCTTTAAGGAATATTACAGTATTCTGTTAATTATTAAGTGTAGTATTATATGAAAATGACATGCTACAAGTAAAAATATTTAAATCATTTGGGACATAGTGTTACCTATTAATCTTTATATTTTACCTGTATAAACCAAAGCATGAGAAATCCATTTGATTCGTCTATGCACATCTAATTTTCATCATTATATGGAAAGTTGACAATACCAGTTTAGAAATTATTTATTAATAATTTTAAATTATTCACACCAGGACATCCTTGATGGTTAGGGGCTGAACCTTGGTGCTCCTAATGCCAGGGGCCTGGGTTCCATCCCTGGTTGGGACACTAGGGTCCACATGCTGCAACAGAAGATCCTGCATGCAGCAACTAAGACCTGGTAGTAAAGCTATGACGCAACTAGACAGCGTGTTAAAAATCAGAGACGTTACTTTGCCAACAAAGGTCTATCTAGTCAAAGTTATGGTTTTTCCTGTAGTCATGTATGGATGTGAGAACTGAATCATAAAGAAGGTTGAATGCTGAAGACTTGATGCTTCTGAGCTGTGGTGTTGGAGAAGACTCCTGAGAGTCTCTTGAACTGCAAGATCAAATCAGTCAATCCCAAAGGAAATCAATCCTTAATATTCATTAGAAGGACTGATGCTGAAGCTCCAATACTTTGGACACCTGATGGAAGAACTGACTCATCAGAAAAGGCCCTGATGCTGGGAAAGATTGACAGCAGAAGATGACAGAGGATGAGATGCTTGGATGGCACCACTGACGTAATGGACGTGAGTTTGAGCAAGCTCCAGGAGATGGTGAAAACAGGGAAGCCTGGCATGCTGCACTCTATGGGGTCGCAAAGAGTGGGACACAACTGAGTGACTGAACAACAACAAAAGTCAAATAAATAAAAATAAGTATTAAAAAAATTATTTGCACGCATTCATACGGTAGGCAAGGCACTAAAAGTTCAAAATACAGTTTTGAGAAATTTTTACTTATTTTCCTCTCGGAATGGGAAGTGAGAAAGGCAAAAAACTGTGGGTAGGAAAATCCATTAAGAATCCATAAGAATATCCTATTAAACTGTAAAAAGATGAAACACCAAAAAATAATTCCTGGAAAAATATATCTTTTGTGTGTAACCACAATCAGACTGAGTTAAAACAGAAGCAGAAAAGCATTCCTGAGTTTCCCCCAAGTGAATGCAGTGTAGAGTGAAGATTTAGGAAGGTGAAGCTATATTTGGTAACTCAATTAAAATAACTACATTCTCAAGTTACTTACTGGGAAACCATGGTATTCTTAGTATTTTAAAACTTGTCACAACCTGTGCTAATGTTGGCTTTTTTCTTCCTCTTCCCTGGGTAACTATAATCATCTGAGAATTAGTATTCAGTAGCAGGTTTTTTTTTTTTTTTTTAAGCAGAAAACAAAGATCTGGCTACTGTGGCTAATGCTGTTGCATGATTCACGGAATTCTAGATTTGCCCCCTGGAACCCAAGAATAGTACAGGATACCTGAGAAATAAACTGAGTATGTTGAAGAAACCTAAGCCTGTTATACAGAGGAAAGCACCTTTATTATTCCCGCAGCTACATATATTATGCTATTGAATTTCGGTTAGTTATTGGTGTTGAGGCAAGGGATGGTAGGTATTATCTAAATCTTCTTCAAAAAGCTAAATTTCTAACAGGAATAGAAGGATAAAGAAGGTCTTCCTCTATGAAGTTTTCTATTTCACTGGGTGGCAGGTAGGGAGACAAGCAGAGTACACCAGGTGTACTGGTCACCTTCATGGTGGTACTGTTGCTTAGTTGCTAAATGTGTCCAGCTCTTTTTCCACCTCATGGACTGTAGCCTGCTAGGCACCTCTGTCCATGGGATTTCCCAGGCAAGAATAGTGGAGTGGATTGCCATTTCCTCTCCAAGGGATCGTCCCAGACCAGGGATGGATGCATCTTCTGAGTTGGCAGGTGGATTCAGTACTGCTGAGCCACCAGGGAAAACCCACCTTTGTGTGCTAAGAACTTAGTCAAATAACTATTGGATACCTACCCTGAGCAAGTTATCACTGTCACATGACACCATGTAAGTTTGGGATTTTCTTAGTGTGACTGAGTGGTCCAATATAGATCCCTGAATTCTAGGTTGTTTTGTCATCAAGTCCCTTATTATTGTAAGTTCTTTATATCATTGTCTTAATTGGGGGGGGGGTTAATGTTAATTATGTGAAAAGTTGTACTGTTAAGGAATAATGATCTTTTTAAAAAAAATTCCTCTATTCATTTGGACTTTGCCTCTCATAATTATTCCTTTCTTGGTATTTACACCTTTAAACTAGCAATAGGTTAATGTCCTTTTTGGCCCTTTCATATTTAGACAAAACAAGTTGCTCTGGTGAATAAGACCCTTGGAGAAACTGGCGAACCTCAGGACATTTGCTCTGGCAACAGAGATCAGATAACATTCCAAATCTGGCTAAATCACCTAAAGGTGAGGACTCTGTGAGAAGGTGTTAATGTTTCCACAGGCTAAATGTGATGTCTGTTTTTATCTTACTAGCTTTGTAAAGCACCTCAATTTACTATCACCTCTGGGAAGCTCTCCAATCTTTGAAGATCTTGCTGAAATATTTTAAAAAGTAGCAGCAATGATAAAAATAAACTATTTATTGAGGCAAGTAAAACATTTTATAGCTAAAGTATTAAAGGCTTAGAGAAGTATTTCTAAGATAAATCAGTCTCTTAATCACTAAGTGTTTCCATCAGAATTAACCATCCAAACAGCAATAGACAACCAATGCAGCATTCACTACCACGGAAACAGTCTAATAGGGATTCTTCCGATCATCCTTCTGATTTAGTATGTAGATGAGTCAGTTTTCTGATCTGAATTTAAAATTTTATGTCATTCCTGTTTAACAGTTTGTCTTCGAAGCCACCTAATACGTTATTGAATTATTTATATTTCGTATATAAACTTTTCTCTTTCAAATGGTTATTAAAAATATTAAAGTATTTGAGGCCTCCTCATGGTCAGTTTATCAGAGCAGTTAATTTTCAACTAAGTGTTCAGAGTAAATCAACCTTCAACATATAAAGTTGTAAAATACTCCGCGGTCCATTATTTAAGTACAGCCAACTCAATTAAATATCAGTAAACAAAGTCAACGTCAATGCCAAATATCTCTATATCTCTGTCGGGTTTTCGCCTCACCCACTGCTGTGATCCTGTGAAGAATACATTCAGGAACTAATTCAATGCAAAGTAAAAAAACAGGACTGATGTCAAGGTTAGGCGAACGGAAGAAAAAAAAAAAGCGTATTTAAAACACTTTCTAAAACACCGGCAACACTGGTGTAGTTTTTAAAAATGCGCTGGTAACCCGACACTTCGAAGTGTTTGCTACGGGGGAGACTCGGGCGGTCCCACCCCTCTCGGCCTCGGTCGGCGGTCCCGGAGCCCAGGAGCCGGCCAGAAAAAGACACAGCCGTGAAAACAAGTTCGCTTCGCCCGGTCCGAGGCGCGGGGAGTCAGCCGTGGGGCGGCTGCGACGTCAAAGCCCGCCGTCACCGCCCGGCTGTGGAGACCCCAGCCCTACAAAGGGGCACAGACCCCAAGTCCTAAAGGCGAAAAAGGTGGCGCCAGCCGCCGCCTACCACGACCAAGGCCGTCAGCCCCGCCCCCACCCGCGGGGGCGACCCCTGACCCCCCCGCCTCCGCAGAGACCGAGGCGCTCTGGCTTGCACCGCCCCTCCCCCATCGCCGAGCCGGCGCGAGTCCCCACACCTCCCCCGCTCCGGCGGTCTCGGGTCTCCGAGCCACTGCCTCCATAGACCGAGCAGCCGCCGCGGAGCTCTCTGGGGGTTGGAGTCCTCGAGGGGGGCCTTTGCGCGCCTCAGCGGCGGAGCCGAGGACTATGACTCCCACAATGCCTCGCGCCCGCCCCCTCGCCGTCGGCTTTCCGTCGCTCCCAGACTACATTTCCCGGCAGCCCTCGCGGCTCTCCCGCCCTCCCTCCCGAGACACGAGCCGAACTGGGCGTCAGGTCGGGGAGCCGGTCGGGTTCCCGCTCGCTGCCGCCGCCGCCGCCGCCCCCCGCAGCGACTCTCCCGCCTCTCCAGTCGCGCTGGTCGCAGGACCTGCATCGACAACTCTGCTCGGCTGTGGAACCGCCGGCCCGAGAGTATAGTGTCCAGGACGCGACACACCGACCCCCCATCATCTTCAGTCGGGGCGACCCCTCCCGGGTCCGCCTTCGCCCTGCGCGGCCGCCAGAGCCCCCGTCTCCGAGCGGCCCCGTGGCCCGGCGTCCGCATCCCGGCCCCTGCAGTCCGCGGTCGCCGCCCCCCACCCTGAACATGGACTCCGACTCCTGCGCCGCCGCTTTCCACCCGGAGGTGAGTGAGAGCTGCGCCCCGACAGCCCCTGACCACCCTCACGCCGATCCGGTGCTCCCGAAGGCCGACCCCCGCCGGCTGGGCGCCGTTCTCCCCTCCCCCAGCTATCTCTCGTCGCCCCCCGGGCGCCCAACCCCGCCCCCCACTCGGGCCCGCGCCCGGTCTTCCCCGCCCGCCGTATCCTCGGTGTCCCTTCCGGGGCGTCCGCGTCCTCACGGCGCCCCTTCCCCGTGGTCGCCGCGCCCACCCTCCCCGGCCTCGCGTAGCCGGGGGACCTGTCTGCGCTCCCGGCCCCTCCTCGCCGGCCTGGCTTACCCCTTCCCCGCCCCCGGGGACTCGGTCCGAGCCGCCTCCGCCCCGCGCTCCAGCTTCCCGGAGGAATCACCCACCCCCTCCCAGAGGGGCTCGCGGCCCCCTCTCGGACTGGGACTCCGCTCCGCGCGCCCCCGCCTCCTCCCCTAATCCCCCCAGGCCTGGTGGCCCGCGCCCCGCCCCCTGACTCCCGCTCGGCCCCCGCCCCCTCTGGCTAGGGTGGGGGAGGCTCGTCCTTCGGGATCCCCACCCCTGCGGGGGCCTGAGCCTTGCTCCCACCCCTGACGCGTTTGCCTCCCCCTCCAGGGCCCCCTCCCCCGAGCTCGGCTCGCCCCGCCCCGGCTCCCCCTCCTTCCGGGGATCGGCCCTCGGTTCTCCCGGCCGCCCCCATCCCCCGGAGCCCCCGCCGCGGTCCCTTCTCTCTCTCGAAGCTCGCCGAGTCCGGGGTGCGGGTCCGGCCGCCGGCGGGTGGGGGAGGGGAGGCGGCGCCGGGCGGGCTAGTCCGCCGCGCTGCCGCGTCGGGGGCTCGCGGGGCCTGTGAGTCCCGGACCCCGAATCCTGCCCGGCTACTCGCGCCCCCTCCCCCGCGGGATGGGCCCCGCACCTTCCGGGGCCGCCTGTCGGCGAGGAGCGGCTTCCGCGGGAGGGTGGGGAGGGGGCCGCACCGCCATCTGCTTTTCTTACGGGCGGCGTTGGCGGGGCCCGGGCGGCCGGCGCGGTAGGAGCGGCGCGGGTCCCCCGCCCCGGGCCCGAGGGCACCGCCGCCATCCACTCAGAGTCCCGGCTACTGACCCACTTCAGCATATTCCCCGCCGAAATAAAAGTTCTCCCCGCGAGTTTGAGGGCCGCAGCCCTCCCACCCAGCCGGAGGGAGGGCGGTCAGTTCTCCCTGCGGTTGGGGGCAGGGTCTCCCCGGCTCTGGAAGCGCTGGGTACTGCGCGGACTCTGCCTCGTCGCTGTCCTGCGCGCCTCTCCGGGTCTGGGCGGCCGAGGGCTGAGGGCAGAGGCGGTTTGCTAGCACCGAGTTGAGAAAATAAAAAGAAGTGGCGCCCTTGGAAGGAGACCTGCGGGCGGCAGGCCGCCCGCGCTGTTTTCTGGGCGCGCTGGACTGAGGGGGCGGGGGTGGTTGTACTCCGGCAGAAGCCGGAGCCTACCCCGTCATCTCCTCCCCCTACTTTCATCCGAGTGGGGAGTGGGCCCCTCGGCTATGGAAATGCTAGCTGAACTCCTAAGGATGGGATTGAGGTGGGTGATAAAGTGCTTAAAGAAAACCTAAGTAAATACGCTAGTCGAATGAACCGAAGAGAGCAAATAATCTTTTTCTTCCTAGCTCCTCTTTCTCAGAGAATCAATTCTTGTTGAGGGCGATTCTTAATTGAATGGGGATGGGACACACAAGCCAAAATTTCTAGTACTTCACCTTCAGTATGCAAATGGTTTTGTTGTTCAGTCCTTAAATCCTGTCCAAGTTGTTAAGCCTGGGGGACTGTAGCCCTCCAGGCTCTTCTGTCTACGGGATTTTCCAGGCAAGGATACTGGAATGGGTTGCCTTCTCCTCCTCCACGGGATCTTCCCCACCCAGGGATTGAACCTTCCTCTCCTGCATTGCAGGCGGCTTTTAGTGACTGTAATTATATACAGAGTTAGGTTTCCTAAATGGTAGTAAATGGTAGTGGCAGGATTTTTTCTAGGTTGAGGGGTGCCTTGCCCCAGGGTGTTGGAGGAGCGGAGGGACCAGCAGGAAGTGTCTCCTCTGGAGGAGAGAGCCGAGTAGGAGGGAGGGGGTCCTCCTGAAGCCCTGCCTGGGGAGGGGTTAGGCAAGATTCAGGTCCAGGATTCCAGGTCTGAACTCTGCAGGTTGAAAAGTAGTTGACTTCTGAAGTCACTTAAAATATTTCAGCTGCAGCAGTTTATCTTCAAAGTGGAAAATTTGTGGCAAAAAAGTTAATTATTAGGGCTCTCTACAATAGGCCTGTAGAAACTTAATAGATAATGTCAGAAAATGCACATGAGCGCTAATAAATAGACTTTTGTACAATCTTTTATCTCCTAACCAGTTTCCCAGTATTCTTGGCATAGCATCACATACCTCCTCTTTCAACCTTCTGAAAACTGTTAATTCTTGACCCAGACTTACCTTATCTTGTTTCTAGAGTGTTTGTAAATCTAGCAGTGTGTTTTTGAGTGGCGGACTATGAAAGCTCCAGCCTGTTTAGTATTGTTTTTTTGATGTCACCTATAAGTGTCTACTTCCAAACATGCTCCCTTTTCTCGCTGTTAACAGGAGTACTCCCCAAGTTACAAGCGGCGCAGGACCGTGGAGGATTTCAACAAATTCTGCACCTTTGTCTTGGCCTATGCAGGCTACATCCCTTATCCAAAGGAGGTAATTCAGCACTTCTGAGACCTTGCTGGCAGCAAAACCAGAGTCTTTGACAAGGTGGTGGGTCTGGAAGGGATTGAATGGGAGGACTTGAGCCATAACAGTCAGGCAGAAATTTTTCTTACAAACCTAGACCAGCCTGGGAAGTGGTTCCTAAAACGGATGGAAAATGTAGATTTGTCTAGAAATGGTTCGATAAACTTTCAAAGTTTGCTTACAAATAATCTAACTTATACCTTCCTAATGTCTAGTGTTTATTGAAAGGTTACTGTCACTTAGTCGTGGTCTATACGGTCCATGGGATTCTCCAGGCCAGAATACTGAGTGGGTAGCTTTTTCCTTCTCCAGGAGATCTTCCCAATTCAGGGATCTAACCCAGATCTCCTGCATTGCAGGTGGATTCTTTATCTGCTGAGCCACAGGGGAAGCCCAAGAATACTGGCGTGGGTAGCCTATCTCTTCTCCAGTAGATCTTCCTAACCCAGGAATCAAACCAGGGTCTCCTGCACTGCAGGCAGATTCTTTACCGACTAAGCCACAAGGGAAGCCTGGAGAGCTTACTGTGGCTAGGCACTATTTTTGGCCATTATAATGATATGCAGTAGGAGCTTTTATTTATAGCCTTTTTGGTAGTAGTTTATTTATTTTGGCTGTGCCACATGCTTTGTAGGATCTTAGTTCCATGACCAGGAATCAAACCCAGGGCCAGCAGTGAAAGTGCTGAATTCTAATCACTGGACTTCCTGGGAATCCCCCGCTTGTTTCTGTTGTATTTATTTACTTTTTCTCTTCCATTTGAAAGATGAGGACACTGGGGCACAGAGAGGGAACTCCTTACTCTGGGTACAGGCTCTTTGGTGGTGGAGCCTGGGGTTCAAGGAGATCAAATAGTTGGGCCCAGTCCACCCTGCCCTACCTGGTGGGTGGCCTCCTGGTTGGTGTCATTACAGAATCTTCAGGGAATCGTGGCCAGAATCCCATGTAAATTAAGGCATTTTTTCCTTGCTGAGAAATGGGCAGGTGGACCAGTGCTGCCAGGGTGCTCAAACTTCAGGGGCCTGGTTCAGACTGTGCAAGGCTAAAGAGAAAGGAATCCAGTATTTTTAGGGGGCCAGATCCCAGCACTGGCTTATTGTTTCCACTGCCAGCTAGGTCTATAATGCCTACATGAATGCTGCTACTGTTTGCACATAAACAGTAAGTTTGCTTGATTGACCTGAAGGAACCAGAGACTTGAACTCACTGCTTTGGGGCAGTAATTACATACTTGGATTTTGCAGTATTTTGAGATACCTCCAAGTTTTTAAAGAGAAGTGTCAGAACATCCTCATCATTAATTTACATTCACTTAATTAAAATGTACATCCTTTGGGAGGACAGTTGTGGGGGAGACTGTAAAATCAGTAAAGATAAGAGCTTGAGAATGTGTCTTTGGCACTCCTGTCACAGAAGTGTATTGAGTATCAACTAAGTCCTTGGTGAGGGTTCACCCAGGGCTGGAGGTCCCCCTTGTGGGTTCATGTTGTAGCTGGAAGGACGCACTAAATCCCATTCCCGATGTTCCTGAAGAATAGCACTGGTGAGAGCTGAGGAGCTCTGGGTTCTTGTTTCCCACATCTGCAGACCTGACCTGGTGGAGAGTGGGGAGGATGGGGTCCTTTGGAAGCTCTGCTCAGGGCAAGCTCTGGTGTTGGAGGCTGGTTGAAATAATCAGAAGCCACCCTGTTTTCTCTGTCCTTTCAGGAAGTCCCTCTGAGGAGCAGTCCCAGCCCCGCCAACAGCACCGCTGGTACCATCGACAGCGACGGCTGGGATGCCAATTTTGCCGACATCTCATCCACCGTGCCCTTGCCAGTCTCTGATCACTGCTTTGGCCACCTGCAGCCCACCCTCCTGCAGCGAGCTAAGCCTAGTAACTTCCTGCTAGACAGAAAGAAGACTGACAAGCTGAAGAAGAAGAAGAAGAGGAAGCGAAGGGACAGTGACGTGCCTGGGAAGGAGGGCTACATGGGGGGCTTGCTGCAGCTGGAAGCCGCCGACCCATACGCAGAGACCCCCACGAGCCCCACTCTGCAGGATATCCCCCAGGCCACTGGAGACCCCTGCTCAGGCTGGGACTCCGATACTCCTTCCAGTGGGTCTTGCACCACAGTGTCACCGGATCAGGTCAAAGAAATAAAAACTGAAGGCAAACGGACTATCGTCCGGCAGGGCAAGCAGGTGGTGTTCCGGGACGAAGACAGCACGGGCAACGATGAAGACATCATGGTGGATTCCGGTGAGTGGCCCAGAGGTGGGACGCTAAGAGCGGGGTTTCAGGGCCCTAACCTTCCCCTTCCATTGCAGGGGTTGTGGGTTCGATCCCTGGTCGAGGAGCTGAAATCCCATGCGCCTGCTGTGAGGTGCGGGGTTTCAGTGCAGTGGTCCCTTCCTTGGAAGGGGACAGGGGAGCATGCCCCACCACCTTCAGGGGAAAGGGTATGAGAAGGCCGATGCTGAGACATTTAGGAAGGGGTGATCACATCTGAAGACAGTGGACATTCCAGAGCAGGCCTCAAAATGTGAAAATAACATAGCTCATGCGTAACCACCTTGTGGGGAGTTCCTCGTACCACACATTTCAGTGCTTTTTGGGCACGTATGCATTTTCAGAGCGGGAAGTATCACCCTGAAACTTGAAATTGGTTTCACCGCAGCTCAGCTGCCCTCTCCCTTTGGAGAGTGGCTTTCCTGATGGGAGGGGTTCTGATTGGTGGTGGTGTGAGAGATTTTTCCACTGTTAACATGCTTCTCTGCTTTCAGATGATGACTCCTGGGACCTGGTCACGTGCTTCTGCATGAAACCGTTTGCTGGCCGCCCAATGATAGAGTGCAACGAGTGCCACACTTGGATTCACCTGTCCTGTGCAAAGATCCGGAAGTCCAACGTTCCAGAAGTGTTTGTCTGCCAAAAGTGCCGGGACTCCAAGTTTGACATCCGCCGTTCCAACCGGTCCCGAATGGGCTCCCGGAAGCTGTTTCTGGACTGACTGCTGGAGGGCGAGGAGTCAGAAGGGACTCTGGGCCTGCTGGCCCTGGTCTTAGTTGAGCACAGGACTCTTAGCTCCAGCGCGGGCAGACCCCTGCCGTTCAGGTGCCTACACGAAAGGACCAGCTGTCCAAGGTATAAACTGTACATAGCCAGTGACTGAATAAAATCCTCGTTGGCCAGAGCTGCTGCTGGAGCCGTGGTCTCTGCAGTGGAGGTGGACTGCACACCCAAGTGCAGTGGGTTTGGTCCAGCCGAACATGAGGGTGCGTGGTCGTTGTGCATTTTTGCTCTCATTGTTGACAAACTCCCGCCGATCGGAACAAGTGCTGGCTGTTACTCCTGCTTCCGCTGTGTTGGCGCGAGGAGATGTTTCCCTGGCCTGTTTATGAACCGCCATACGTGTAAAGTTCTTCTCCAGTCCGTCTTTTACCATAAGTGTCTGTACAGCAACCATCGAAGCCGCTCCTCCCTTAGTGGTCGTCCCCTCTCCCCTGCCTTGGGGGAGGCCTGTTCCCCTGGGGCTGGAGTCCCTGGCCTCACCCAGGGGTAGTGAGCTTGCTGGTGAGCCCCAGGTTTCCTTCTGTTCTTTAAAGGGGACACTATGCAGCTGCTTCTCTGTGGAAAGGGTTGGTTTGGGGGTGGGGTCATGGTGGCCCGTGTTCATAACTCAGTTTCCTGTTTTGCACGATGTAAAAAAACTGTCTTTTTGCACGAAATAGCCAAAAGTATTGGCAGACTTCTGCCAGGGTTCCCTTCCTCTCCAGTTGGCTTTGGAGGGCCTGGGGGTGCCCAGCAAGCTGTTTTCAATTGAGGGGGCGCCTGGATCCTCTCCTTGTCTCTCCCCGCTCACTAGGTTCTAGCAGCGACGTTAAAGGTTAGGCAGTCTCTGGGGGAGGGTGTTCTCCACATAGTGGTGGGGGGAGGGAAATGGGGAGGAAGGCCTCCCTCATGGGTATTCTTAGTATGCCCCTCGTACAGGCTGGCCTGCTGGTTCCAGGGGGCAAGGATAGGACTTTTGAAGCGTTTTTTTGGTTTGAGTTGCTGAGTGAGTGATATGGTAATATTGGCCTCCAGGAACATACCACTGAACTTTGCAAAGTTCCTTAGATCTAAAGCAGGGCCCTGGACCAAGGAGACCCCTGTGCAGGCCGGCTCTGGAGAGGCCAGGGAGTTTGAAGCCCCAGCAGGCCTCCGCTGGAGGGCCATGTGGCGGGGACACTGATGGGTCTCAGGCTTGAGGGAGAGGGAGGACTTCTGTGTTCTCTGAAACTGACATTACTCTAGCAGTTTAAATACTCGTTTTTTTGTATATTAATGAGTGTGTCTTCATAAACATTATTTCTTATGAAGCATGAAGAGGGAAGGGTGCCCAAGTCAGGCATATTTATTGACATCAAGATGGAGCCTCAGTCTTCCCACAGGGGGACTTCTCTACGTGGTCCCCATGTATGAGGCCACCAGACGGACTTGTGTCCACGTTCTCTCACTGAAGCACGGGTGGGGGGAGGGGGGTTGAACTGTAATCGGCTGATCAGAGCCTATATTTTGTCCTAGTATCTTTCATGCTTGACCAGCCAACTGCCTTTTTTGTTTTATTTTTAATTCTGTTGTTTCTATTAACACAAAAATAGAGAGAAATAGTTTTTGAAATCCATTTTATTGTGAAGAGCCCCAAGGGAGGTGTTCTACTGTAGAGAAAAATAGTAAGGAGCCTGGCTTAGAAACAACCTTCTCCCCAGACAACCATCTGGCTCTGACTAGGGCAAAAGTCCAGGAAAAGTTGGGAGAGGAATTTGCCAAAGATCTGCACCATGACATTGCCTGTCCTGTGTCTTCACCATGACAGTAGCCAAAGTTTCCAAATGTTTCTCTCTTAAAAAAAAAACTCCACAGTTTTACAAGTGTGTTTAAGAATAGGTGTGATTTTAGGGTGGAGCTGCCAGTCCTGGCAATTACCATATTGCTCTTAGAAGACTTAGTTCCTGGTGACGCCTCTGGAAGGCATTTGATACTCATCTCGATTTCTGTTTCCTTCATTTGCTTTTGTTCTTTTAACAGAGTTATCCCTGTGGGTGGTGTCAAAGAAGTCAGGACACCACAGTTTTTCTGTTAGATTGAGCTGGGCAGCTGCAATCAGCTTTATGCAAATTAGGTATGGCCCATCTCCGGGTTCCTGGTTGGTGGCTGATGGAGAAGGGAGGGAAAGTTGTCATCCCCAAAGCAAGTCCCTCCCGTCGGCTTTGGCCAGGCCAGACACTTAACATCGTTTACATGGTTCTGTGTAATTATAAAGTTTATGTGTATAAAGCGAAGCTGTTTCTGTGAAACTGTATATTTTGTAAATAAATATATTGCTACTTTGAGGTTCATGTTTAGCTTTAGGTGTTTGTGTTCTGTGCTGAAGGACTGACCCTTCATTACCAACCCCCAAAACCATGGTTACATGAAGATTTGGGAAGTTAAGAGTCTGAGTTTGGTTTAGCAGGATGAAACATTATCACAGCCCTTAATATGCTTTTCTAGTAAATTCTCCAGAAACAAACCACAGCATGAAGAGGCATGAATAGCTTTCACAATTTCTTCACATTGTGCATTAGCTTAAATCCCAGTGAGTGGTTAACCTGCATTGTAAAAGCTGCAGCTGCCTCTAAGTTTATGCAGGTGGGATTAGAATTTGCCCCGTATTCATTCTGTCCTTCCACTTGGGGGTCCCAAGGGGCTGAGCCTGTTCTGTCAGTCAGCTGTGTCTGCCTAGCCAATCTGGGACCAGCTAATGGTCAACTAGTACTTTCTTCTGTGACGTTGGAGCAGCCGAAATCTATGAATCAATACCTACTGAAATATTGAAAATACTGGCCTAGGTGGCCAGTGAGCCTGCCTTTGGTTTTCAGTTGTCCCAAACTGGGTGGGTGTGTGTGAATTTTGGAAGCTTCAAAGCAAGGAGGTGAGGGTGACGCTTCAGCGTAACTAGCGTAAAACCTGCATCTGCTCCTAGTTGGGGATGTCTGAGCCGGGCCTTGAAGCACCCTTTGACGCGGTCGCAGGCACTGCGTGCATGATATGCTGGCCAAAGAACAGAGCCAGGCCCGCCTTCACTCACCAGCCCCTGCAAGCCCCGCCCCGCCCGGATCCTCCCCCGTCTCCTACTGGCCCCGCCTCTCTCTCGAGGGCCTGTCGCCTGCAGACCCCGCCCCGATCGCTCGCCCCGCCTCCACCGGCCAGCCCCGCCCCGCCCCATGACCCCGCCCCTCCCGGAGTCGCTGCCGCGCCCCGCAGGCCCCGCCGCCGCCATCTTTGTTAGGGGCAGCCGGGCCTGGAGTCTGGAGATGCCGAAGTCGTGCGCGGCCCGGCAGTGCTGCAACCGCTACAGCAATCGCAGGAAGCAGCTCACCTTCCACCGGTGAGGGGCGGGGGCACCGGGGTGCGCGGGGGCCGGCCTCTCCCAGGCCGACGACCACGGCCCCAGCGGAAGCGTCAGGTCTGGCGCGACAGGCGTGGGGACGCCCGGGCCACTGCCCGACCGCCAGGAGGCCAGAGGACGTGCGGCCGAGCCCTTTGCGGAGGGGCGGCGGACCCCCGGAGAGCGGCGAGGTACCGGCCCAAGAAGCCCGGCACCACCTCGGCCGCCTGGGCGCGCGGGGAGACGGTCGGAGAGGCTGAGTAACCTGCCCGCCGGCGCACAGCCTCTCTTGGGTCAGGGGAGGCGGTGGCGGGCCTGGTGCGCGCTCAGCGCTGCGCCTTTGCGGTGACTTGGCGTGCGTCCCCTCCGCGGTCCAGGGACTGTGCAGCCCGGGACGTAGTTAAGTGTGCAGTATTTGCTGCAAGATGAGCGATGCTAACCTCCCTTAGGTGTGCGGTGCGCTGCGCGCTCTGCTCACCTCTCCGGGTCTCTAGTCAGGAAGGAAAGGCGTGGTGGAGGAATGAGAACGTTCCAGCGGGTGGGGGCGCGGGGCCGGGACGCGCGACCTTTGCTGGAGCCGCAGGAGGATGGTAGGATTTCCGGAGTCTGTCCCAGCGCGCCCCGCGCACCCCAGGTGTGGGACCCGGCCGAGTGCACGGCCGCTTGCGCATCAATGGGTAGAGTGTTGCACACTTTCTTGCTGGTTCCAGCCACACGCCTTCCTCCGTCCTGCTCAGAGCGTGACTCTAAAGGGCTGCGCTCTGTTCATCTACACCTCGTCTCCTCCTCTAAGCGTTTTCTTTTTTAACGTGAGTATGTCTATTGATATGTAACACGCGTACGGAAAAGTGCACAATTTATAAGCACACAGTTTCACCAAGTGAACACCCGGTGTGACTGCCAAGAGTTTAGACCATGGAAGCCCCCAGGAGACCCGGAAACGCACCCCCTTTCAGTCTCTCAGTCCCCAAGGGTAAGGCCTCTGTCAGAGGGGACTGCCTTGGCCTGTTCGGAGCCTCACTGAATGGAGTCACACGCTGTCCTTTTTCCTGTCCTTCGCTCATCTTTGTGCTTGTGAGTCCTTCATGTGGCCCGAAGCAGCTGCAGCAGTTCATCCTTTTCATTGCTGTGTAGTGATCCAGGAGTGTATTTATTCCAACCAACTTGTTGTACAATTGAAGGGCATTTGGGCCCCTCTGTTTTATGGCCATTACAGGCATGAGGCTTGGGTCATCTTTGCTGGGTCTTATCTTCCAGCGCCTGTACCCCACCACTCCCAAAATTACCTCGGTCAAGTCTCAGTGGCCCTTCTCTGCGGCCTGTGACACAACTGACTGCTGACCCCTTGAGGCCATCTACCACCTGGCTTCTGGGACACCTTCTCAGTCTTGGGTAGATTCTGCTCGTTTCCAACTCCAGACAGATGTTGGAGCACTTCAGGGTGCCGGCCATGCTGCTGTCCTGTCCCTGTCCACGCTGGCTTCCCAGGGCAGCCATCTCACCCAGGCTTATGGCTCTGCCACCTTTTACATGGGGATACCCTCATGGTGACATCTCCAGACAACTCTTGTCCCCCTGTCATTCAGCTTCAGCACGTG